CATATATATATATATACATACACATACATACAAACACACATATGTGTGTGTGTATGTGTGTGTGTGTGTGTGTGTGTGTGTGTGTGTTAGCAAAACTGGAGAGCATTGTTTGGGCTATTGTGTACGCTTTGGCCACATTTGTTTGCCACCTTTTACCAAAACCTGTTTCCATAATTGGTAGATTATTTTGGGAGTCTTTTAAAGATTAAAAAAAAATGTTGCTATGTTTAGAGAATCTGGTAGTTACTCTGCAGGCTCCGGAGTAGCAAGATAGCGGATGATGGTTAAAAAAAAAAAAAAAAAAAAGAGGCGAATGCGTTCTTCTTCTGCGTAGTCGGTTCTTCTGTTTTGTTTTTTTCCCCCCCACTTAGATTTTTTATTTTGCCCCATCCCACATACCTATTTCAAAGGGTTTTGCTGCCTTTCATACATTTGGTCAACGTGGCTTGGAAAAATTGTGTTGGATGTTCTGATGTAGTTGGCGAAGGGCATATCCCCTTGGTTGTTGTCATGTTCAAAGGGAAGCCCGCCATCTCATATTTTTTGCCTGGGCAGACACGCATGTTCTCGAAACATTAATTTCTTGTTTTGGGTTTTTCTTTCATTTTTGTTTTCCTTTGACATCAGGGATTTTGAAGTGCTTTCTTCTTTCCTTTTCCTTTCTCTTCTGTTTGCTTATTTTGACCAGTTTTGAAATCAGAGAGGAGATAACCTGCCCGCGGCCGCCTGTCAAAATTGACTACATGCCGCACACACAAAGTCATGCTGTTATGTCATTTTCGAAGGAAAAATGCCCATACACCAAATCACGCTCTCATTAAACACCAATGTAAAGCTACCTATATTGAGACTGGGGGGGTTATCTGGATGTCAAGGTTAATTGCAAATTTGCAATCATTTTTGTTAACACCCTCGCCGAATTTGAGATCTTTCGACACGTTGGCCGGCCGTTTTGATCGCCGCCGGCGCTCGTACTGGTACTAAACATTCCAAAAATAAAGAGTGAAAAGACAAAAAAATTGACTGCAGTGACTCGTAAGTGTGCGCCTATATTTCTGATCATGCAGATTGACCTCTTATTTAGAGCAGTTGTCATGAAATGCAGCCCCTTTTTAATAGTTGAAATAGAATTTATGTATATATTTATATTTTTTTAATAAAGGAAGTATAGAACTCACTACCTTGCTCCTGCTGGTATGTTGATTATGTTTGTCAAATTGGGTGACCATCCATTGGGGCAGGAACTCCTGTTTCTTCTTAGTGGCAAAAACTTGACTGCATCAGGACAACACTATGAGGAAGGGTTTGAATCAAACAGGGAACGCTAGATCCTCAAACCTTAATAATTTTCACAGGGTATATTGTAAGTGCATGTACATCACAAATCTTACTTTTTGGGTTCTATGAGAAGCACATGGTGAATAAAAAAAATATCTTTACATACGTTAAAATAAGGTTCCATCTTTCATACGCCTGTTCCGTTTGTGGGTTAGACACAAAACATTCTTGTTGACATATCTGGACACCCAGCAGAAGTGGAAATCCTCTTATTTAATTTGGATTGATCCTTTTCTTTTTCCATTTTATACTTCACATTTTTTTCACTCTTTTTTTTTTGTACATGAAACATGCACTATAGAATTGAACAGCATGGGGGGGGGGGCGGGGGGAGGATAAGTCCATGTATCCACAGATTGTAAGATCTAGTCAAGACTTTGCTGTGTTTATGACAATGCCCTTTGTATTATATTAAGACAGTCTTATGTATGATATATAAAAAGAAGTTAATTGAAATGGTCTGTGTCTTCTTTGAGTCTCATTCACAAAATATACTCATGCTTTGCCATGGAAGCTATTTTACTGTTATTTTACCGCAGACCTGCGATTCTTGGGATTTAGCTTTTGCTGTAATAAGTGTTTTCATATATGTTCGGAATATATCACGTTTCAGTGGTCAATTGCGGACGACGTTTGAAAGTTATGAAGCCAAGTGAAGTCTCAATTTTCTACTTGGCTCGTTGGTCTAGGGGTATGATTCTCGCTTCGGGTGCGAGAGGTCCCGGGTTCAAATCCCGGACGAGCCCGCTGCTTATTTTGCGCTCTTACCTCATATTCTAGTCAGAATTACTCTTAAATACAGTATGTGTTCAACGACGAAAACAGCTTGAAAGCGGCTTCCTTGTATGACTTTGTGCCTCACGAGTTAGTGTTTAAATGACGTCGTCTCGATACCTGGATGTTCCTAAAGCCCACGAAGGTTCCTTTGTCATGTTATATGAAGCTAACTTGCATCAAAGCGGTAAAAGAATGGGCTCGTCCGGGATTTGAACCCGGGACCTCTCGCACCCTAAGCGAGAATCATACCCCTAGACCAACGAGCCACACGACTATACCTTCCCTCATTGTATTTAAAACATAGGTTATGGAGAAATTTTCTGTCCGAAGGGTTTCTTGTAAGCGATTACGTAGACCTATAATGGGTCGAACAAAAAGCCATGTCTTTGTCGTACATGTGATTGCTGGCAAAAGGCAGCATTGACAAACCATGTGATTCTGTGACGTACTTTGTACGTGAGGGAAGAGGCTTTGGATGTAATGTGATTGGTCAATGGCTCATGGAATCAACCAATTATTGCAGCTTTTATTTTGTCTCGCTCCAATCAATAGCCGAGATCTGAGTCGCAGTTACTGAAAGATTGGCATTTTGTTTGGCGCTTCGCGAAATTCAGTAACCGTCAAATGGCACGCTTTTGAGCTGTTGTTTTATTTATTGTACACCGTCCTTTGAGACGCAGTTAGGCTCGTTCTGTCTGGTTTGCCGGAGCTGAGAAACAAAACGACTTTTAAAACAATAACAAGGTTAGTCAAACGGAGGAGTAGCCAAGTTTGCTAACGAGTTAGCTTGAAAAATGCCGAATTTTTGTGCGGCCCCGAACTGCACACGGAAGAGTACCCAGTCGGATTTGGCATTTTTCCGCTTTCCCAGGGACCCCGAAAGGTAAGATATAATATTTTATACAGTACAGGTAGCTGGAAGCACACGTTCTCGAACTTGACTTTTAAATTGGACAGGCAAATCGGTGCTGTTGTGAAATCAATTTCTTTTACAGTATTTCAGGCAGCTGGCTATGGTAAAGCCCTTCCTTTCTCAGCAGCACTGAAAAACAGTAATCTATGCCTTCGTTACGTCTTGGTTAGATTACTGAAATGCATTTTATTTTGGAATCAGCTCGTCCTTCCTTAAGCGTCTCCAGATGATCCAAAATGCTGCTGCTTGCCTCCTAACTGTAACTCGTAAGAGGGAGCACAAAACCCCAATTTTGGCTCCCCTTCACTGTCTCCCAGTCCATTTTAAAGGTCATTATTAGATACTTCACTTTCTGTTCGAATATTTAAATGGGCGTTCCACATTTTATATTATTTGTAAAGTGCTTTGTTACAGCTGCAGCTCTTATGAAATACGTGATAAATTAAGTCATATTGTATTGTAATAAATACATGTCTCGTTTAAAACTCCCGATTGGCTAGTAGGCACTGTAAACATAGTATGTATAAATAAATAAAGAGAATAAACAAAAGAAAAATGTACAGGATGGGATTTGAACCCGTGGCAAAGGAATGAAGCGGCACCTTCGGCGCGACCGCTCAACCCACTCTGGCACAAGCTGGGACACTTGGAACTGTCGTAGAATTTATACTTATAGTTCTTCTGCAATTCATAGTAACATCGCAAAGTGGTGAGTTGTTGACCACGAGAATAACCACTGCGTACTTTATACATCCATCCATCCATCCACTATCTGAACCACTTATCCTCATGAGGGTCGAGCCTATCCCGGCTGTCTTCGGGCAGTAGACGGGGCACACCCTGAAATGGCTGCCAGCCAATCGCAGGACTCAGATAGACGAACAACCATTCATACTCACAGTCACCGCTAGGGACAATTTAGTGTTCTATTTACGGGACGAAAATCATGTAGGATACATGACCCATAAATGCTTGTCACCGACCGCTTCATCCACCTCATTACCACCACGTCAATGCACAGCTATATCAATTTCGTGAGAGTAACGATGTATGTCATTATTGTTATTGTCCTCAAACCCTGTCTTAACCTTTTGAGGTTAAGGTCCTGTGTCGGGAACACGCTAATCCAAGAATGTATTGTCCATCCATCCATTTTCTGATCCGCTTTATCCTCGCAACGGTCGCGGGGCGTGCAGGAGCCTATCCCGTCCGTCTCCGGGCAGTAGGCGGGGGACACCCTGAACTGGTTGCCAGCCAATCACAGGGCACACAGAGGCAAACAACCATCCGCGCTCACACTCAACCTAGGGACAATTTAGAGTGTTCATTCAGCCTGCCATGCATGTTTTTGGAATGTGGGAGGAAACCGGAATACCCGGAGAAAACCCACGCAGGCCCAGGGAGAACATGCAAACTCCACACAGGGAGGCCGGAGCAGAGATCCAACCCAGGACCTCTGCACTGTGAGGTCGACGCGCTAACCACTGGACCACCACCACCGGGCCGCCCTAGAATGTATTGTGTGTTTGAAATTATGTCAACAAAGTGTGTGTTGTGTGTTTGCAGATGTCGAATCTGGGTAGAGAACTGCCGCAGAGCGGACCTGGAGGCCAAAACTGCCGACCAATTGAACAAACACTACAGATTGTGTGCCAAACACTTTGATCCAGCCCTGGTATACAGAACTGTGAGTACCTCACGCCCATATTCGATTGTCCAAGTCTTCAGACCTTCTCATAATGTTTCGAAACAAGAGGCGCCAGGGTGCTTCTGAGTACTTTATACGGACTGCACACGTTCACACTACAGCGCACAAGAAGGCGGCTAAATCTTCATTCAAGCCATTGACCCTGTTTTCGTAGATCAATTTCTCAAGCGTTTGTCTTCTTCTGGTATAGTTAGAGATGGGTTGAAGTACGTGTGACATCATAGTGGAAAGGTCTATAAGTTGTGTGTCTGTGTCAGAGCCCCTACAGGACGGTGCTCAAGGATACGGCCATTCCCACCATCTTCGATCTGACCAGCCACTTGGCGAATCCTCGCGTCAAACACCGCAAGCAGATCAAAGAACTTGTGAGGCAGAAAAAAAAAAACATTGCGTCTCTTAAGTGCAGCTTCTGTTAGTTAAACTTCTTATTTTGGAATCTTCCTTTTGGTTTCAGACAGAGGAGGACCTAAGACGAATCAAGGAAAGAAGATGTGAGTAAATTGGCACGACATTGGAAACTAAAGTTTGATCCGCGGGTTGCAATACAATTCGAGGACAGTACATTTAAAGTGGAACGATTCAGTGGGATCACGATTCGCTTTGATAAAGATGCCGCTCAGTTTGAGAGCGTATAATGCAATACGTTTCTCGTTGAAAGTCATGTCGTGTCCGAACCAGTTCACAATCAATCAAGTTTAACATCCCCTCTTGACTCTCCTTAGTGGCGTCCTCTGCTGAGAAGTCCCAAAAAGACGCGGCCCCCGAAGACCAGATCGTAGACGAGCCACAAATGTCCGCGGAGGAGAAACAGCTGCGCGATTACCTGCGCTCCCTGTTTGAGGTGGTCCTGACTCTGGCCAAGCAGCGCATCCCCTTTCAGACCTTCAAAGATCTCGACGGCGAGAACGCGCCCAACAACTTCCAAGCGCTGTTGGAGTACCGCATGCACGCCGGAGACGAGGCCCTGAGGAAGCGCTTCGAGGCCACGCCGGTGAACGGCGAGTTTCTCTCCTCGGCGCAGCTGTGCCAGCTCCTGGACGTGTGTGAGAACACGGTGAGGGAGGAGATGCTGATGGAGGCCAGGGAGGGCCGCTTCTTTTCGCTGGTCACCGACGACCTGGTGGACTTTGGCGGCGACAAGCACCTCCCGCTCTTTCTTCGCTTCGTCAACCAGCACAACGTCCTGCGCGAGGAATTTTTGGACTTTGTGCTGTTCGACGGCGACGAATTGGCGCTGGTGGAGCGTCTGGAGGCGCAGCTGACCGAGCGCTGGGGGCTCATCATGGAGGATTGCCGCGGGCAGGCGCACAAAGTGACCGGGGCGTCGGCCACCAAGATGAAGGCGGTGGCCGTGCACCTGATGGAGAAGTACCCGCTGGCCCTTTACATGCCCTGCTCCCGCATGGCGCTCAACATCCACTTGGCCAACAGTCTGCCCTTCCCCAACGTGCAGGTGCTCATGGAGACCCTGCGGAGGTTGGCTGCCTTCTTTAAGAGCGCTCTGGCGCAGGCCCTGCTTGCCACGTGTATCTCCGCTCACTCCCAGAAAAGTGACGAAAAGGCCGCGGCGCTCCATCAAGCCTGCGGCGAAGGCTGGACCGAGCGCCACAACGTCTTCGACGTGCTCCTCGACATCCTGCCACCGCTCATCACCTGCCTGGACACCATCCACCAGAATGCCGACGGCGCCTTCGACGGCGCGGCGATGGCCAGCGCCTACTCCCTCGCCGAGACGCTGGCCGACTTTGAGATGGTGATGACCGCCGTGGTCCTCAAAAGCGTCCTCACCTTCACCCGAGCGTTCGGCCGGAACCTCCAAGGCGAGACACTGGACGCCTTCTGCGCCGCCAACAGCCTGACGGCCGTCATGCACTCGCTCGTCGAGGTCAACGACAACATCGACGTGTACCACGAGTTCTGGTACGAGGAGGCCACCAACATGGCCGCCTCCCTGGAGATCCCCGTCCGCGTGCCCCGGCTCTTTGTTCAGAGGCAGCGCGCCGCCGACATGGGCGAGATCCAAGCGGAGGCCTACTACCGCGAGTACGTCACACTGCCCATCATCCACAGCGTCATGCAGGAGGTGGAGGAGATGTTCTCCGAGGTCAACCTCAAAGTCCTCAAGTGTCTGTCGCTGGTGCCGGCCATCATGGGCCAGATGAAATTCAACACCACAGAGGAGAACTCGGCCGACATGTACCGCGCCGACCTGCCCAGCCCCGAGACGCTGGCGGCCGAGCTGCACTGCTGGCGCATCAAGTGGAAACACCGTGGCAAGGAGGTGCGCCTGCCCGCCACCATCCACGAGACGCTGCAGCTGCCCGACATCAAGTTCTTCCCCAATGTCAACGCTTTCCTTAAGGTGCTCTCCACGCTGCCTGTGCTCAGGGTGGAGGAGCAGCGGGGCGCCGCCGCTGGCGAGCGGCTGCGGGCGTACCTGGACGCCGTGCCCGCCAAGTTGTGGAACCGCAGTCTTGCTGTGCTCAACGTCAACGGGCACGTCAAGCCCGACCTGGACGTCATGGTGGACAAGTACTGCAGACTTTATCCCGAGGAGGAGCCCGAGCTGGAGCTGGAGCCTGAGCCTGAGCCAGAGGAAGAGGCTGCCGCCAAATGAACTACATCCTCCCATTTTGTGTCTGGACTGCCGCTTTTATATCATCTTTTTGTATGTACTGCGCGAGGCCTTCAAGCGACATTCAAAACGACTGCACCATGTAATGACATCCAATCAAACGTGAGCATTTTTATTTTTGTACAGGCATCATTTTCTGTTCATGCACATACCACAACAGTCTGACTTTGCATTTATTAACACGTGAAATCTTGTGGCGTGGAGTTTATGGTGTAAACAAATCTGAAAAAATTGACTTGTTTATATAAAGACATGAGACAACAGTACATGGGATTTAGCCCGCCGTCCCTGTGAACGTGTGACTTCAGCGCCGTTGAAGAACAAGGGAGACCACAAGAAGGTGCTGCTGCATCAATTACACACTTGCCAGACAGTTTATTAGATCCATAAACCGAAGTTTGGTTTGTTGTTAATGCCAGCTTTAATGACTTTTAATATTACCTGAACAAAGCATTTGTTTTGTGTTTCATGTAATTCTTGTATTGATGTTCTTGCCTCAACATTTCCCCTCACGATGAGTCACGTTTGATCGCTGATATTTAGTTGTTTTCGGTTAAAAAAAAAAGATTCTCAATCAACTCCTGACTCGGATATCTTCATTGCTAATTATGTTATACTTCTACGAGCAATGTTGATTTTATTGTTGTATGAATGTGCACAATTTATTCTCCCTCAATTTTCTGTCACGTTAAGTTTACAGAGGAGCTGATAGACAATTTAGAGTCCCCTAACTTACATTTGACATGTGAAAAGCCCATGCAACCACAGGGAGAACAGGCAAACTCCACACAGGAATACCCAAGGCAAGACTTGAACCGCGAACCTTGGACCTGTTTGAGAGAACACTACTAACCACTTGATTTGTGTTTACCAACCTTTGTTCAATCCCTCAGCACCGGATGAGTGGGCTGCAAGCCTGTTCTTAAAAAGAAAAAAAGATGAGTAGTGATCAGACCTTGTGATTTCCTAGGAACGTTTGAAATGTAAACCCTTGTAGGGCTGTCTAGAAATAAAGTCACATTGATATTTCCTACCTTACTACATCAATAATTCTGAGAAATCATAGATGTTAAGTACATAAAAGTAATTTGAACAATGATCTTATTTCAGCGGTGTGTGTCAAAGTTGTATCCCTTTGCATTAATCACGACCCAAGAATTAGCTCCGTTTCAAAAAGGTTGCTGAATGACATCTGTGTTAATTGTACCTTCTGTCATTCGGTGGCATTTATTTCTTGTTCTTGTCGCTAAACGTTACTGTATATAAACAAAATTTGGACCAATTACAATGAACCCGTTGCTCTGTATTTGTGGATAATAGGTAAAGGGTAGTGAGATTCCACGTATAATTGACGTCCATTGAAATACATTTGGGGGTATACATTTTTTGACCGTAAAAAAAAAACACACAAACCTCCAGTAAACACGAAATATGCGCGGTGACGCCCCCAAAAACAACGAAAATATCGCGGGAGTGGGGGGGGGGGCGTCTACCGCGCAGGCTGGACTGCGAGTATGCGGGTCCCCCCCCCCCCACACACACACACACACACACACACACACTGATGTGCCGAAATAGCCGTCTTAGACATTGCTTCAGAGCAAATATAGTCATTTAATTGTAATTTGCGCAGCAGGTGCATGTTTCTGTATTGTGTGCGTGTCTGATTTGTAATAGTGTACTCTAATTCTACACTGCCCCCCCCCCACCCCGCCCCACAATAAAGCAAAGTGCTACTTCCTCCCTCTGCTGGTTTATACTAGCAGTTGCGTTCAGGTACAAATCGTGGGTGGGGTCGTCTTGACGGGTGCAGCACGTCCGTTGAACCCTCCGACGTCCTGCAGGAGGAGGAAAGCAGCCAGCAGGGAAACTCGCTAACGAGCCCGCATCATCAGCACCACCGTGGACAAAAAGCACCATGGCCTGGCCGTGCATCACGCGGGCTTGCTGCATCAACCGCTTCTGGAGCGACCTGGACAAGGCGGACATCGCCGTGCCTCTGGTCTTCACCAAATATTCAGACGTCCAGCATAAGCAGCCGAAGGGGCCCGCTGCGGAGAGCCAGCCGGAGGCCGCCAAGGCACCGCCCGCCGGCGCCGTCGCCGCCGCCGCCGCCTCGGACGCCTCCTCCTCCTCTGTCATGCGGCAAGATTTTAAGGCGTGGAAAGTGCGTCCGGAGCCCAGCTGTAAGCCCCGGAACGAGTACCAGCCAGCGGCCGGCCCCTTCATCCCGGAGACCCAGTACCAGAAGGACTACAAAGCGTGGCCCATTCCCAAGAAGCACGACCACCCGTGGATCCCCAAAGCCGGCGCCAGCACCGCCACCGCGGGGAAGCTAGAGCAAGTGGCCGCCGAAATGGAGACCGGCGTGGAGAAGAGCGAGATCGAGGAGAAGCTCCAGGAGAAGGAGACAAAGGAGCCGGTCAGGAGGGACAAGTCCGCCGAGAGGAAAGACCAAGAGGCGCCCGCCGGCAGTGAGCAAGGCAGGGCGGCCGCCGACGCTCTCAACAGACACATTAAGCAGACCATGAGCACTTCCAGCAGCAGCTACAGGTCACGTTGACGAGACATCTTTACATTTCTTTCCAACGTTTTTTATTCTTTTTTAAGACTCGGAGGATATTGAAAAGTTACATATTTCATCATGACATGCTTTTTTTTTTTTGACAGATGGTCCATGAACGCCACATCACTTTCTTATCAAATGGCATTTTACAATATTTGTGATAATGTTGTACCATGACAATACTATATGTTGTTATTTTTAATTTCATACCACATTTCCTTGGGTATTTATTTACTCACCTATTCAGAGTACCTGGGATTGAAACCTTTATTTGTCAATTTAATAATGATTTCCACCATATAATATAACGATAATCTTGCATTATGATCCATTATTATGAGCATTTTAATACTAATATTGCAGCGGACCCCACTTACTTGCGGTTCGGCACCTACTGATCGACCTATTTTGATTTTAAAAAAATAATTCCCCGCATTTTCGCAGAAATTCATATTGGAGGTTTATCAGCGCTTTATCAGAAAATTTGAGGGGGGTTACAATTTTTTTTTCCCCAATGCATTTATTTCAATGAGTGTCAAATACTTGCGTGGGTCAGCCCAGTCCCTATCCCCTGCAAATAGCGGGGGTCCAATGGATATCATTGTAATAGTAGAGACCTATATTCAAATATGAACTGCATTTCCCATTGAAACTTTTTTGTCGAAAGTGGAGCACACTGGGTGTTTATTCGGACTTAAGGTATAAGAAGTGACAACTTAATTCCCTAGTCCATTTTTTTTTAATATTACAGTATACATGTTCAATCAGTAAAGGCTATTTAATGATACATATTACTGTATTTAATAATATATGCATTTATTTCCAATAACTTACTATTCCAACAATAATATGTATATTTTGATGAATTGCAGTGTATAGATTTCAAAATTTTCAACAGCATTCTCCCTTTAAACACTAAACGCCGTAAATGTCAGCTTCAGTGATGTATCAATTCTAGTAAAGGGCCATCGAGTGGCACCACTGTATATGCATTTTTTTTTTCTGTGTGTGTGTTTGACAACATAAATGGGATTAACGGGAGAGTAGGAGCCATTCTGTGAGTGCAGCATTCATTGTTATTTATTTTGGCCATGAATAATCACATTTTACAGCGCTTTAGTTACATTGCGCCCATCATTGGGCAATATAAATGTACTGTCGATTACGAATCAATCATAGCTCTAAATAACTTTACCAGTACAGTACATGACAGGATCCTTGTGTTTTTGAAATGCTATTGTATGTGCAACATGTAAGCGGGAAGCGGTAGCGCAGTGACGTGACTTATCGTACGCTCTCCTGTTACAAGACCCCCGTGACCTCTGTGAGTGATATTTCCGTAAAGATAGGGCAAATGTATTGATCCGCCCCTCCTCCTTGGCCTCCCTTCCAGTGCTACCCAAATCAATGTCGCACAATATGTAGCACCAATGAAGCTAGCAAAAAGACCGTGTTTGTGCAACAATCGCTCATGCTGCTCTCTGTAATCACTTTATGCCCGCTGGCTTCCTGCATCCACATTGTAATGAACATGATGTAGGCCAAGACTGAATAATTCAATCAAGTCTTGGGAGGTTGGTAGCATGTAGACTGCCAACCCTATGATTTTTCTCTTTCCACTTAAGATATGAATAAGAATATGGTGTGATGAGCAGTTAAGCTTTATTAGGTGGAAAGACTTTTATGGCCAGGCTGATGCACTTTACACAGTTGGACGGTCAATATGACGCTCATTAGCAGAGACCAGATGAATATTTATGTTGTATTGCTTCGGTGGCCTGTTTTCACCTTGGGCTGCAAATGTACATACAGTGGAAGCGCTAAAGTTGAACATTCCAAAAGTGGTACTCTTTGATGGGATTTCATGATGATGTTTTTAGTGTTAAAAACAAGACCCGGGACTCAGACAGGCATGTATGAGGGGGTGGCCACAAATCTTGTGCTCCAGCACCTTTTACCACGAGCAAATTCACTTGCTTGGATGTGGGTACACTAAACAAGAGCCTCAAATGTTTTCTCAAATGCTAGGCACACTTATTTTATTGTGGTTATTATTGTTAGTGGAACTATATATGAAGTTCGGTTCGGGTTAGTTGTATGTCCTACCCCTCAATCTAACCTGACTGCACTTTGTCAGGCCCTATGAAGACTAGCTGCTGTTGGTGTACCTCTGAGAGTCACCGAGACACTCAAACCCCCTGACCGCGATAACGTGGCGATACATCAGAAGTTTTTTTTAATCTATTTATTTATTTTTATACCTTTAGGGGGATGTTTTTGAAAATGTTTTTGCATTTAAAAAAATTACATTTGGAAAATGTTTGAAAAAAAAATAAAATTCAAGAAATAAAACAAAGGCTACTAGTCTAACAAACAAACTTAACAGTTACTTAGGTGTACTGAATGAGACCATTCGGCATGTCAAAAACATGTCCAAAACAAAGGCCCAGGCACCATGGTATCCTGTAATTAGCAAGTAAGAGATAAAGACAGTAAGAAGTGAAGCAAAGGAAAGTGGCATGAGATAATAAAAATATGTGAAATATAATATATTTTGGGGGATTTAGTTGGGTGGGGGGGGGGCAAAACATTTATTTGAGGGGGCCAGGTCCCCTCTTGCCCCTGCCTAGACCCGGCCCTGGTTAAAAAAAATCGTTTGGCCTTTGTTTGAACAAGGACTGCGACAACAAATAATTGGATTAAAAACAAAAAGGAAAAAAAAACCAAAAGCAAAATCTCTGCATCGAAGCTTTGCTGAGATCAAATTTTCCATGTGGACTCACGTTGTTGCGCAGTGGCACCCACATTATTGTGTTTCATCATGCAAAATAATTTTTTATTCAAGACCAAATACATCAATAGGATGAGTTGACAGAAGACTCGAATATACGCGAAAATACTCAATATCATGAAATTTTAAAATATTTCAGCCCAAGTTTGAACTCCCAAGTTTTATTTAACTTTGTGCACATGTGTACCACTTTTGGGGTGTTCACCTTCGGAGGTTCCACAGCGTACATTGTATTTTTAGCCTCATGTAGTTGCTATTAGCCAAATGAGGCAGCTGAGACCATAAAGCAAAGTGCTCCCCCGGGGACATCGAATCCTTTACCAAAGCAAACAGCTTCCACTCGATACAATTAAACATTGTGTTGTTGCTGTCTTGCAGAAGTGAGTTCAAGGCCTACAAGGACGTGAAACCGGTCAAGCCCATCAAGGCGGCGGCCCAGTACAAACCCTCGGCCGAGAAGGAGACCAGCCTGGAAACCAGCTACAGTGCCACTTTTAGGGGCGAGCAAGTCAAGGCCCAGCCGGCCGACAACAAACTGCTGGAGCGCAGGAGGATACGCAGTCTGTACAGCGAGCCCGGCAAGGAGCCACCTAAGGTGAGCACACACACACACACACACACACACACACACACACACACACACACACACACACACACAGCACAGTCAGCTTTTATACAATTATTATACAATGCAATACTGTTCTATAGAATGAAACCAAAACCTGTTTTTGTTGCTAACGTAAATTTCCCAAGCTGCACAGAGACGAGGCGCACAGACTGTTGGCCTTGGTCTACGGTTCCTAAGCCAATCACGATGCAAACCACAATGCACTGTTAAAAAAAAAAATGTTGACGGAGTCCAATGTGTACTATGATATTTTGTTGGTTAGCAAGGTTATCAAAACGAAACAAAGAATGTCATCATCATCAGGGCATATAGTATTTCTGTTTTATTTATTAATTACATTTTTTATTAATTTAACAGATTACAATTTATTTTAGGATTTCCTTTATGCTTTTTATTGCATTTCACAGTTGAATTTAATGGGTCGTGTGGATGTGTTATTTTGGTGCACAAAGATTGTTTTGCCTTGGTGGAGGTATTAGGGTTTGGGTTTGGGCAGGGGTCGGCAACCCAAAATGTTGAAAGAGCCATATAGGACAAAAAAACCAAACAAAAAACAAATATGTCTGGAGCCGCAAAAAAATAAAAGCCTTCTATAAAATTTACAATGAAGGAAACACATGCTGTATGCATGTAGGAGACTGGACTGTCTCAGAATTGTTTATGTTATTCATTCCTTTGTTGTGTGTTCACAAACGCCCCCATATAATTTATTTTGTGATTTCCTCGCTTGATTGTTTTGTTTTGGTGCATAATTTTCGCTTTTCTTAGTGTCAGTGAAGTAATCATTTATTTCCGTTTTTCGGAGGCTGTCTTGAACGCCTCTCGAGTCGAAAGAGAAGAGAGAAGGCGCGGAGTCGGACGCAGACGTGTCTGTTTGTCGAGACTGTTAAAAGCATAAATAAAGTGTACGTTTTAAAAAAAACAACATCACAGCTCTCCTTTTTCGAAGCTGCAACATGTATCTATATCTATTTGAGCTATATTAGCCTCCTATCAAAATCTTTTTCCATTTTCAAACATTTTTTTGTAAAGCTCCAGGGAGCCACTAGATGTCGCTAAAGAGCCGCGTGTTGCCGACCCCCTGGTTAGGGTATCCAATCTGTTGCTGTTTCAATTTTTTCCACCCTCGACGGTAAATGGTTGCCCCATATTGTGTGTGCGCGTGTGCACGTGCGGCAGTCAACATGTGTTCATTGTAGCCCTTCCCTCCCTCTCTCATTTTCGTAGGACGTGTCAGAGGCTGACAGCAGCTCTGTTCTAAATCTGCTGTAGTCAGGTGTGTTTCCATTAGAAAAGCATGGAGGCTCACCTCAGACTACACGGCACACGACCGCACAACGCACTAAAGATCTCTTCTTCACTCGTTGCCTGCGTCACCTCATTTCTTTTGATTAATCCCGTCAATCATTCATGAGAATTATGTGGAATCATAGGAAAAACGCGTAGTTGCAGATGACCACATTGTTTCCCACGGGGCCTCCTCTCGGTCTGATGCTGTGTAGATTGTGCTTCACAGATGTATTTCAAATTCGTTTCTTCACAAAATGATGCAAAGTCATGCTGACATTTTTTTGGGGCCTTTTTTTTTTTTTTTGCCTGTTTAATGTGGAGTGTATCAAAGGAAATGTTTGTTACAATTATTATTATTTTTTTTTTAATGTATGGTGGTTAACTTGGTTTTACGCAACACAAACCAACAATTGATTGACATTTGTTGCATGGCAATGTAGGCGGGCCATCATGTCCCATTCCTTTTGTCATGATTGTTGTTTTTACAATTTATGATGTTGACAATGTAGAGCTAACATTGTAAAAGTTTTACGAGGGGACACAGTTTGACCCCCAAACAAATTCATTCCAAGACCTAAATTTGTCTAAGGTCTTCATGAGACCAGACAACATTTTTTTTTAATGATTAATTAACGAGAAGACAGTCACAAATTTGAGGGAAAAATGTGTAGTATATATTTTTTTTTTTTTAGATTCGAAATATTTTGAGGAAAAATATAAGTGTGTTATTACTGCAAGGGAAACCAAAAACAAACAAAAAAAAGCCAAATAGCAGTCTGTGTTAGCCCAAATTCATCTGGCTTCTGCTGAAAAGCAAAACAATTGTCAGGAAATGTCAAAACTAAGAAGAGCTGAACTTTATTTGAGGTGAACGAGATACACTCATTATGGGTCAGGTCAAACTCTCATTTGAATGAGTTTGAATTTTGATCAGACTATTCTAAGCACAGCTATATCACCGTTACTGTATCAGAGCGTAGGCACACTTGGCCAGCAGCATTTTTCAGATGTTTATTTTTATTTCCCTTCTCGAAAAGACAAGGAAAAGGTTGTACAGGCTAAAGGTCACATTAAAGGCGGAAATAGTTTTGAAATTATTGACAAAAACCGGCCATACGAACAGGGATGTGTAGAGTTTTTACATCGGATGTACAAAAGTCATAATGTGCATTTACCAAAACTAATAGAATGTGTAAAAACTGATCATGTCACTTTCTCCCATCGCAATAAAAAGCGCAAAGACCCTTTTTGTGCTGTTTAATTGTCATGAGACTAACCCCCATTCACCCCTAAAGCACACCTTAAGGCTATGCATGCTCAAATCATAGAGTTGAATTCACTCAGCTTTTTTTTTTTTTTTAAAACTTACATTCTTTCCTGTTTTTTTTTTTTTTTCCTCCCCACAGGCGGACAAGCCGGCATCTCGCATCCGGCCGAAGAAAACGACGGCGGGGAAGGCTGTAAAGAAGACGAAGGAGAACAAGGAGAAGAAGGTGCTGGCTGCTTCCGCGTCCGCCAAGAAGAAAGAAGAAGAAGCCGCCGCAGCGGAGGCGGGCGTCACCAAGAAGAACAAAGAGATCAGCAATAGACTGGCCGAGGCCAAACAGTAACACACGTATCTCCGTCAGCCTCTTTGCAACGTGAACGTGCACTCGCTTCACGCCCCCTTTTTCCTCATTTCACCTTGAGCTCATGTACTTGTACAACGCGTGTCTAAGTGTGTTTGTGCAAGGGAGAGCAAATGTGAGTGTGCTCAGGGCTGAGTTCTCGAGTGAGTTTTGGAAGCGTCACGCATATGTTGTTCTACACCATTTAACTTTATTATATTTTATTCTCCTTCTACCTTTCTTGACCGATTCACACCGTTCCAACCTCAACATCTTCCAAAAATTGATGCCAGGCGGGCTATTATTTTGAACTCAGTTTTCCCACAATTCCACATTTTTCACTCAAAAATTGCCCGTTTATTCCTTCTGATGCATTCACCAGAACAGTTTCACAGAATTCCTTTTCGAAATTCTAAACCAGGGGTGCCCAACCTTTTTAGAAGATCTACTTTGGAAGATCTACTTTTCAAGCCAACCAACCTTACACCGTTCGATCGACCGTTACCGCACGAGCATGCGTCTACACACACACACACACACACACACACACACACACACAGACACACACACACACACACACACACACACGCATGCCATGATGAGCAGCCGCCATAACGGCCCCTAACATGAATGAAACAGAAAACTAAAGCAGATACAAGAAATTGTGAGTTTGTGAAAAGGAAATCGCTGCCTACCTTAATACTGTAATGTTTTTTTAAAAATAGATGTATCGCAACAGCTCTGATCGCAAACTGCAATTGCAGACTGCTGATCGCAAACAACATCCGGTGATGTAGGTGACACGCCAATGTAGATTAAAGGTGACCTGCGTTTTAATTTTAGTTTGTAAATACTTTTTTGTGAAAGTGAAACTGATAGGATGCTTAAGATGAAATGTACACTAACACAAAAGTATAGAATATTAACAACACGCACAGAGACAGTCAGACACCCTCCCTCCCCCTGCCTCATTTCCCCCAACATCTCCCGCGATCGACTTGGGACCAGTTTCGACTGGTTGGACACCCCTGTTCTCAATGTTCAGCTCATTGAATTCACTTTGGAAATGAATTTCATTTTTCACAAATACAATTCCGCATCATTTTGTAACTTTGAATGTAACTCAGCATCATTCCACACTTTCACCACATTTTTCATTCAAATGTGACACATTTAAAATCATTCCATGTCATTCTCTGTCTTTCAATATCATTGCACATCACTCCACATTTTTTCACCAACATAGAGCGCGTTTTTCAAACAAATCATTCCATATCATTCATTGCATATCATTTGAAACTATTCAGAATCATCAGAGTATTCAGTAACTTTCCACATCATTTCATATCATTGCACATAATTCGATATTTTTTCATTCCGCTTTCCAGGATTCACACACAATTTTTCCCAAAATCCCAATTGCATTTTCTGCTATTGTTTTTATGATTAATTAAGCACCTAATTTGCACATCAGTCCCGAAGAGCCATGGTTATTTGTGCAAAAGGGCATTTTACACGTGAACTCCACATCCAGTGATTGTAAAAACTCATTTTGTGAGGAGGAAAAAAAAGGGCCCACTTTCTTGTTGCAGTGCCTCTGCTGTTGTCCCCCCCCCCCACCCCCGTCCCCTATCAGTGGCTTTCATCCGTTTTGTTGCTAAGATACCAAATCAATTGGACTAGAATTCCCCGCAGCTCGCATGCAAGGCCCTCCTTTTTTCCACCCCGATTTACAGTATGCATTGTAGCTTGTACATTGAGCCTTTTAGGGTCCATATATGCTGTGCTGTTTGAAATATATGCATGTCTAGTAGTAACAAAAAAAAATCAATAGTCTCGTCGTGGCTGTACAAGCGATGAAGTAAACAGACACCAGCGAGGTGGTTCCTGCTGCACCCTTACTGTTACACTATTAACACAACTGTGGTTTTGAAAGGAAAGTGCACTCTTGTTAGCCTCACCTTTGACTTTTCACTTCGATATGTAAAGAAACAATCCACATGAAGCCAATAACTTACATTTTGAGTGGGAGTCTTCAGGCCACACTGAAATGCAAAATGAATAAGAGGAAGGGTTTTAGTATTGTTGGGGGGGGGGGGGGGGAGATGTAGCACTGCAAGAAAAAAGCCAAATTGGTACCAGAACAATGTCATAATACTTTGCGGAAAAATACATACAAAATCATCACAGTACGTGTGTGTGTGTGTGTGTGTGTGTGTGTGTGTGTGTGTGTGTGTGTGTGTCCATGCCACCATCATCAGTGCAAAGAAGTCAACCAAGTGCCACCCTGTCCACTCCCACTCCCTGGTGCTGAAGGCCACCAAGGTTTTTTTTATTTTTTATTTAGTGGTCTGCTTTATTATGGCTGGCGTCGCATTAATTCATCAGTGAAGAAAAGCTCTAAAGGGACAAAAAGACAAACGGAAGCAGATGATGATGTGTTTGCTGTAATCTTTTTTGTGTGTCTGCGAGTGAGTGCGTGTGTGCCTGTGTGCGCGTGCTTCTCAGTTTGTTCAGAATTAACTCAGATTAAAGAACAAAAAGTGAATGTCAACTCTTTTGACTTACTTATTTTGTGTGTTTGTGACTTAAATACTTTTTAGGTGTAATCGTAATGTAACGTCATAAGTAAATCATGCTTTTCAGGTAAAAAGGGGGTAAACATCCGTGTGTCAAAAAGTGAGACTACAGCGGTATCGGCCCCTGGAGGAAATTGAAGACTTGGGTGACATCGACAACTCTTATGTTAGTGATGCAGAAAATACGCCTGGAATGAGCACATTGATTAGTAAGATAATAAGATCAATTTGAATAAAATAGTTTGCTTGTGCTTAAAAATTCAAATGAAGAAACGGTGACAGCAACGCCTACAACATCGTGTTTGTGTGTGTGTGTGTGTGTGTGTGTGTGTGTGTGTGTGTGTGTGTGTGTCCATGCCACCATCATCAGTGCAAAGAAGTCAACCAAGTGCCACCCTGTCCACTCCCACTCCCTGGTGCTGAAGGCCACCAAGGTTTTTTTTATTTTTTATTTAGTGGTCTGCTTTATTATGGCTGGCGTCGCATTAATTCATCAGTGAAGAAAAGCTCTAAAGGGACAAAAAGACAAACGGAAGCAGATGATGATGTGTTTGCTGTAATCTTTTTTGTGTGTCTGCGAGTGAGTGCGTGTGTGCCTGTGTGCGCGTGCTTCTCAGTTTGTTCAGAATTAACTCAGATTAAAGAACAAAAAGTGAATGTCAACTCTTTTGACTTACTTATTTTGTGTGTTTGTGACTTAAATACTTTTTAGGTGTAATCGTAATGTAACGTCATAAGTAAATCATGCTTTTCAGGTAAAAAGGGGGTAAACATCCGTGTGTCAAAAAGTGAGAGTACAGCGGTATCGGCCCCTGGAGGAAATTGAAGACTTGGGTGACATCGACAACTCTTATGTTAGTGATGCAGAAAATACGCCTGGAATGAGCACATTGATTAGTAAGATAATAAGATCAATTTGAATAAAATAGTTTGCTTGTGCTTAAAAATTCAAATGAAGAAACGGTGACAGCAACGCCTACAACATCCTGACTGAAATACCAGCTGTATTTTGTTTCATTTTATTTACTCGTTGGGGTGTTGTCATCCATTTCCTCCGAAACAGTCATGCTGGTATAAAATGCATAAATTATTCAATGGTTAAGTCTGGTGTGTTTCCAGTGCAGCATGAGATAGTGAATAAATGATTAGTGAGGTCACTTTAACAGTAAAAGACCACCTACCACTAGCAGTTCTGCTTCATGTTTAAGATCGTATTTGCTCCATGAGCGAGTCAATAATATTTGTCATTTATTCATGGTATAAATATGAATTTTTTGCTACCTCGTTGGAATTAAGTACGTCAAAATGTGATCAGTGCAAAAAATGTTTTCAAAAAGCGACAGAGGGCTCTCTTTCGGGACGTGAAAACGTTCTACTTTTAAAAAACTCACGAAGAAGAAAAATACACTTCCGGGTTGATACCAAGGAAATCCGGAAGTAAACAACTGCGAACAAGGAGGGAACCGGTGGCTAGATGGTTGGCGTCACATAAATATTTGTAAGAAACATTTCCCATATTGTCGGAAACTTTCATGTAACAAATATCAACTTAAAATATGTACCATGTCTTTCACAATTAGCGAATAATAAGTCCTTAAATATTGTCTGACACATGTTGAACGACCGGTAACAAGGATGTTGACTATTTACTTACCAACTTTTACACATTAACATTGGACTTCATCATAGCCGTCTGTTCTATTTGTGTGTTTCTCACCAAACTACGCAATGTGTCACAGATTGAATAATCGAGATGACCTTGAATTACGTTCATCGTACTTAGATTCCCTTCACATTAACAGTGGTGAACAGTCAGGGCAAGCAAGCCCTTTGTCGACGCATTGACATCCATTTACAGCATAAATTCTAATCTTTGTCCCATGTAAGGGATTTATGTGGCTGTTCTTTTAATGTCCAATCCGATTTCAGCTTCTGCCACTGATCTTAACCGACCTGAACTACTACATACATATGCCACAGCAATATCAGTATTGTTTAGTATGTCTTCCTCTGTACCTAGCGTTTCAATGCACGATGACCACCAAGAGACTAGACGGCTTTGAGGTGCTGTGTGAATGGGCGTCGTGCAGTTTCAAAGGGCGCGGCATGGAGGAGCTGAGCGACCACATGTCCGCTCATCTGACAGAGTATTTGGGCGACAAGGATGCCCTGGAGGAGCTGGGTGAGCCAAAGTCTCATGAGAGCACATTCATTTGAATTGTGTGATCCACGCGTCACAGTGACCATGTTGTTTGTGGTTCCCAGACGAGTACGCTTGCCTGTGGAAAGGTTGTTTGTTTGTCTCCATGGGCAGCCCGGCAGAGTTGGAGGCGCACGCGTACTTCCACAACTACCACGCCAAGCTCAAGTACGCGGGCTCGCAGCTGCTCCAGTCCCGCCTGGACCTGCCCGCCTGCACCCAGGCCGTGCACAGCAACAACCTGCTGCCCGACGGCTCCAACAGACACATCTGCCAATGGGAAAATTGTGACGTACGTGACTTCTTTTTAACATTGCCAGCCAGACTTTATGGTGAATCAACCCACATACATCGTGGGGGTGATAAATTCCAGGCCTAACCACAATAGGTGAAAATCTGTCTAGAAAGAACATATTAAAAAATATCTTTTTAAAATTGTATTTATTTTTTTTTGTTTTCCCTCTGCCACCAAGGTTGTTGTAGTAAATGACAACAATCTCGTTGATGAAATAAAATAAAAATGAATGCTTAAAAAAAAAAAAATTAACTAATTGAAACTACCTTTTACATTTATAACACTAACGAATACTGCATTTATATTGAAAATGTCCTTGTTTCATCTTTGCCAATTAATTTCATTCATGAGCTTCTATATCTTTTTTCTGTGTTACTGTTTGGCCATACAGAAGAAGGTAGTCATTTGGGAAATGCCGTTTTACTTTTAAATGATGACACAATACTTATTGTGACCTTCATTTATCCTTCACT